AATTATTATTATATGATAAATAAAATATTATTTTGTCTGTAATATATTAACTTTTAACTAACTCAACAGTTAGTTAAAATTCAATAAAGAAAGAACAGTCACTTGTCAATGTTACTTTTTACATTTAGAAAACTATCTCCGAATTTTTCTAAGTATGTAATACTTTAAATAAAAATTTATTTTTTTGGGTGGTTTATCTCTACAAAGCCATTAAAGTTTCCCTAGTAATTGTATTTTTAAGTAAATTTAAATTTCGCTTATTTTTGTGAGGTTTGAAATGACTTCGATCTATTCTACATGTAATATCGCTATTATAGAAGAAAATAAAATTTTTTCTTGGACCTCTCTGCAAGTGAAGTTTGCTGTGTTGATTGCCGCGAAGCCTTCAAAAAGATTCCTAGTTTGAAGAGGCAAGTTACTGAGTTGAAAAATGAGCTATACAGAACCAGGACTGATTTGGAGATGGTCACTGCCAAAGTCACAGCATTCGAAGACAAACTTTCGCAAGTAGAAGCAAGTGATGGGAAAATAAACACTAAAATGCCAAACGGAAACAACACAATTGACGTTTTGAGTGAAATGCAGGATCGTGCTATGAGATCCAATAACATTATTATGTTTAATGTAGCTGACCATAATCAAAGGTTGTCAAAGAGCGCATAAATCATGATAACCTTATGATAACAGCTACTTTACAAAAAAATCTATTCATAACAAAATTCAAATCAATATGTGTGGGAAAAAGCAGAACCAGGCTGCTAAAGGTGATTTTTTGAAAACGCCAAAGATCTCTGGGTAATAATATAAGGATTAATGTTGATCTAACAATACTGCAACAAAAAAACTGAGTGTAGTACAGAATGAGCTGAAAACTAGAAGAGATAATGGTGAAACATCTGGTTATTTGACAAATAAATGGGATTCATAAAATCATAAAAAAACCAATGCAGTGCTCACTCTCACAATGGTAACCACAGATATCCCAATGGGAAAATTCTAAAAGTGCATAGGATAGTGCCCCATTAACAGCATATTCTCATAATATGAGATGATCAAATTATTGCTCATATGATATTATAGTTAGTATTGAATCATGGTTGAGTGACAAGTTTTCAGAACATGAAATCAAATTTCGTGGTTATAATATGTATCGTTGTAACAGGAGCATGGCAACAAGTTTTAAAAAGTGGGGTGGAGTAGTAATTATTGCAATAGCTGATAGATTTAGCTCATTCTCTCTCCTAATAATACCATTGAACAATTATATGTTGAATTAATGTTAAGCTATCAGCATTACATTATTGGTGCATCTACCACCTAGTTCCTCAATGGAATGCTACATAATTGACTGTGAATCTGTCAATACCATATACCAAGGACACACAGATAAAAAAGTTTATAATACTAGGTGACTATAATTTACCTGAGGTGATATGGTATAATGATGAACTGGGAGTTTGTAGTAGTTGCTGAATATTTTTATTTTTATAATTATTTTCAAAAAGTAATATATCCAAATTATAGGAGTAAATATTTAGAGTTAATGTTTACAAACATATCTGAAGTCAAAGTAGAACCAGCTGTAGACCTTCTAATGCCTTTACATAATAATCATATAGCTTACACATTTTAATGTACTACTAAAATTAACCTTACATATGAAGAATACTTTTTTGACTCCAGAGATGGTAATTATATAGCGATAAATGATTATTTAGCAGGTATTAATTGGAACAATTTTATGAATTAGATATTGAGTATGCTGTACAACAGTTTTATGAAACTCTAGATGCTGTCTTTAATCAGTTTATTCCAAGAAAGCTCATTAAAAGCTCTAACTTTCTAAAATGGTTTTTCCCATATTTAAAAAATTTAATTATTGCAAAGAAAACTAGTCACAAAAAATATTTACAGACAAAGTCAGAAGCAAATTACTTGATATTTTCGAACTTAAGATCTAAATGTAAAATAGAAACTCAAAAATCTCATCAACAAATGCTTCTATCAAACCAATATAAGTTGAATGTTCGAATAAATTAAACTTTGAGGGTATACAAGGCAAACTATCGAACATGGTGATTAATTTAATCTTGCCCAAGTACTTTCGATCAATAGATCATCTTCAGGGGCATTTCGTCAGTTGTGGCCTATCCGACATAGTAGAATGTCATTAATGTAAAATTTGGACATAACAATACAAAATACAATACACTAAGACAAACAAACACTTTAAAATTTATGAGGAGAAGCTACATGTTGTATAGAAGCCAAATTACATTCTGTCTCCGGCTTCTATACAACATGTAGCTTCTCCTCATAAATTTTTAAGGTGTTTGTTTGTCTTAGTGTATTGTATTTTGTATTGTTATGTCCAAATTTTACATTAATGACATTCTACTATGTCGGATAGGCCACAACTGACGAAATGCCCCTGAAGATGATCTATTGATCGAAAGTACTTGGGCAAGATTAAATTAATCACCGTGTTTGATAGTTGCTTTGTATACCCTCAAAGTTTAAATGCTTTTATATCAGTTTTTTTAGGGGGAATAAACAATAAGACTCCAACTATCTTATGAATATTGTATAACTTAAGATATAAAAATCAAGTTAGAGACCTGGGCATCACTTTTAATGAAAGCATTTCTTTTCAATGACCATATTTCACAGATTACATCGAAAGGTCTTCAACTTCTTGTATTTACATTAAGAAACTAGTGAGTTCCCAATTGATGTAACGAACGTTGTGTATTGTTCTCTTGTACGCTCTCAACTAGAATATGGCACACTAGTCTGGTCTCCTATGTATGACCAGTATATCAATTCCATTGAGAAAGTTTAGAATAAGTTTCTTGGGTATTGTGGTTACAAAATGGGAATTCCAGTTGCAAATATAGTCAAGAAAGTAATTTTAGAAAGATTAAATCTAACAACACTTTATAACAGATGAATTCAGTTTGATTCTGTATTTATTTATAAATTATTAAATAACTTAATTCAATGTCCTGAACTTTTAAGTAAAATAAGCTTCAATATTGCACAGCATAGACTAAGATCTTTTGAACTTTTTCATATAAATTTTCATTCTACCAATTATGCCTGCAATAATTCATTTGATAGGATCTTAAGATTTTTAAATAGTCACTGTGATGTAGATCCTTCTAATTTAAGTTTAAATCAATTTAAAACCATGATTTATAGTAAACTCTAGAATTATTTGTGAGTATTGTATTTTAGAGTGTAGTTATAAGATAAATTAGATTAAAAAAATATAATTTTATTCATCATCATCATCATCTTGGTGCTACAGCCCTTAGAGGGCCTCGACCTTCTCAAGCTTTCTACGCCATTCTGTTCTGTCCCTTGCTTGAATTTTCCAGTTGCCGACTCCGATCTTCTCCGCATCTTGTGTTACCCCATCCATCCACCTCAGCTTTGGTCTACCCCGTCGTCTCATTCCCACAGGTTGCGCTGTTAGAATCTTTTTTATCATGTTCGATTCAGGGTCCCGGGCTACATGTCCTGCCCACTGCAGGCGGTTTCGCTTAATTATAGTGGTAATATCTTTACCACCAAACGTATGCTTGTAGATATTCTGCAGTTCGAAGTTATATCTACGCCTCCATATTCCGTTCTCACAGACCGCTCCAAATATCTTGCGTAGCACCTTCTTTCAAAAATGGATAGAGCGGATTCATCTGTTTTCGTTAGCGTCCATGCCTCTGATCCGTATGTGAGAACGGACATCAGTGTTTATACAGCCTATACGAGTTTTTTGAGACAGACGTTTGTTAGCTAAGTACTTTGATAGACCATAATAACACCTGTTTGCAATTATTATTCGCCTTTTTATTTCCTCAGATGTATTGTTATTGGGGTTAACCGATGTCCCTAGATATATGAACTCATTGACTGCTTCGAAGTTTTGGTCATGGATGATTAAATTTGTGTCAACATTTCCAGCTCTTGTGTTTGTGTTAGTCGCCATGAATTTGGTTTTATTTTGATTTATATGTAACCCCATTCGTTCTGCTGCTGCTACTAGCTCGGTTAGGATTTCCGCAGTTCTCGCCCTAGTTCTTGTTATAATGTCCACGTCGTCTGCATATGCTAGAATTTGGATTGATCTATTAAATATTGTTCCCCTGGTATCTAAATTAGCGTCTCGTACAACTTTTTCTAAGGCGACATTAAAAAGCTGACACGCCAGCGCATCTCCCTGCCTTAACCCCCTATGTATTTGAAATGGGGTTGACGAGTCGTTTTGAATTTTTACTGCTGATAGCATCTTCGCCATTGTCACTTTTATCAAACATATGAGTTTTTTTGGAATTCCTAACTCATTCATAGCGTTGTAAAGACTTGGTCTTAAGACACTGTCGTATGCCGCTTTAAAATCGACAAAAATATGATACATATCTATGTTAAACTCTTGCGCTTTTTCGAGGATCTGTCGTAGTGTAAAGATCTGGTTAATGGTTGAACGTCCAGGCCTGAATCCTGCCTGATATTCCCCTAGAAACATTTCAGTATAAGGCTTTAATCTCTCGTGCAAAATATTTGATAATATCTTGTATGCTGTATTTAGGAGAGTTATTCCGCGGTAATTATTGCATTCCAGTTGGTTTCCCTTTTTGTGTAACGGGCAAATTAAGCCTAAGCTCATTCTTCTGGCATTTGTCCTCAGACCAAATTCTACAAACAATTTCTCGCATCACCTTGGTGAGCTGCTCTCCACCGTGCTTAAATAACTCTGCTGGGATGCCAACGCTACCTGGGGACCTATGGTTCCTTAGTTTTTCTATAGATATTTTTACTTCATCTACCGAGGGGGGTTCCACGAGTTCCTCATTTCGGTATTCCAGCTCTATATTGTTAGTAGGTTCCCCTTCCAGCAACTCTCGAAAGTGCTCTACCCATCGTAAAAGGATGATATAATTTTATTATCAAGCTGTAATGTTGTAATGCTGATTCCACCTATTTAATAAAAAAAAACTTACTGGATAGGGTACATCCCTACTGTGTTCTCTTACATCATCCCTCCGTCCTTTATCCCAATCAGTTTCAGGTGTATGATGATAACTTCTGGGATCTTTGGGAACTTCTGTATAATAATCAAATTCTTGAACATATTGTTCTGGTGGTACAAATTGCTAAAATTATTAAACAATAAATTAAAAATTCTTTAAAAAAATTAAAGTAAAATTTTGCACCTGATAGGGATCAGCTTGTTGAGCAGTATAATCAATAGGTACTGGTGTAATATTATCTTGAGACCATTCTGCATCTAGTGGAGACCCGGCACATATTTGTTGTGCATCTTGGATAGTATTTGGTTGATTATTTAAAGAAGGGTTAACAGGTGGCTGAATTATTGGCTCTGCTATATTGTTGGTAAGAGTGCCATATACAGCAAGTGTTATTGTGGTATACCAACCTAAAAGTAACTTAATTAGTATTCAATATGAAAATAATGAATGTTTTTCATTAAACACACAACATTTAATTTTTAAAACCTATCAACCCTTATATTAATCATTAGGAAGTTATTATTATAAATAAATTATATTAAACAGTCACCAATAAAAGGATACACAACTTCAAATGTGGAAATAGTTTACAGACAACAAAAAAGCTTACCTCTAAGAACTAGTCCATCTGTAGGAATTTTCCTTACATTTTCATTTGAAGCACATTCCAAATTAATACAACCATTCTGATCATATTTAAAACCACCTAAAGTTTCAAAAGTACTAGCTCCTGGTTTTCCTAAATCATTAACAAAAAATTCTATGTCGAATTGACTAGGGTTGGTTGCTCCAAGTCTAACTCCTCCAGGAAAATCTGCTTGAACTCTTGCTCCCAAAGGAATTATTCTGACTTCCACTACATAAACAGGTTTGGGAAACTGCACCAAATCTAGATTTATTTCCTAAAACAAAAAAGAAGTGTATTATTGGAATAGTTCTATTATTTTAAACTATTTAAAATATATATCCAGAAGGGTACACTATATTGAATATAAGTTATTTAATGATATGTATTAAGACACCTAAAATCCTGAAAAATTCCCAATGTTGCTGAAAACATTCCTCACCTGGATGAGATACCAGAGAACACCGAAACTCTAGGAGAAATATAAACTCAAATGTGTTATTAATCCAACAAAAATGACATTTAAAAGTACAAATTACTTTAATGCAGAAAAAATTGCCTTTTGTAAAACATTAATAGAGGAGACACCATAACATTAAGTTAAAAGGTAGCTTAACTTACCTCAGTGTTATCGTGGGCAAATGTGTCAAAAAACAGTAATTCTACTTGTTCGGACATTTTTCTATTTATCACTCTTGAGTGTTCATATTTGAATTACTTTTTAAATTATTATTAATCGACACGGACTCTTGTTGATATTTTGTCAAAAGCTTAGATTCTTCTTCTATTCCATTTTTTACAATTGAAGTCTGTTTTAGAGCACAGAACACAAATATCAATAAATTCCAACTATATGTTAGGTAAAGCACACACGGTGCGATTTTTTGTGAGGAATGTGGCAAATTATTTTTATAATATAAATCACATCAAATTTTTAAATTAACACAGGTTCAGACAGAAAAAATGGTACTAAATAGGTATTTTGGATATAGAACTGTGGCGGTTTAAAGTTGTGTTGTTGATATATTGGTTAATAGAACAATTTTATTCTGGCTAATATTCTGTTCAACGAATTTAAGAATTCATTCGAAATAATCATTGCTTTGTATTTTTATTATATTTGTATTGTTCAGTTTCAAACAAAATAACGTTTATTATTAGACAAAAATTATATAAATTAAATTTTGATACAATTCCATTGAGAAGTTAGGTACAAACCATTGTAATAAAATATGATTATGATGTGATGTTATGATTGTAATGAAATTGTCAAATTGTCAAAAATTGTTTTTGTATCTTAGTACCGGTGCATAATTTTAATTATGCAATATATTTATAACTAAATAATTTTGGCAAAATGTCAGCTACTGGCAATATTCTAGTTGGTAAATTGGAATTTAATTGTGTTGATTCAGTATAATTATCTTTAATCTTTTAGGTGGCGGAACGGGGTTTATAGGCAAATCCCTTTGTAATTTACTAAAACAAAAAGGGTATGGGGTAACTGTGATATCTCGAATGCCAGGCATTCACAGGATATCATGGAATGAATTACAAGAATCTGGTCTTCCAAAAGATACTAAAGCAGTTGTGAATCTAGCTGGTCAAAATGTTATGGACATAACAAGAAGATGGACTTCAGGTTTCAAACAGAATGTATTTCATTCAAGAGTAAATACTACGAAAACATTAGCCTCTTTAATTGATAAGACAAATGAAAAACCTAATGTTTTTGTTACCATATCAGGAGTTGGTGCCTACAAGCCAAGCACAACATCAGAATATACTGAAGACAGTGTTGTACAACCTTTTGACTTTTTTTCAGGGTTATGCCGAGACTGGGAGAATGCAGCACAATTAAATGATAATCAATCAAAATGTAGATTAGCTACTATTCGAAGTGGTGTTGTTTTAGGTAATTATTATTTCTATACCAATATAACCTGCTTCTGTTGACTGATAGTTCCAATTCAGAAAACTGTAGTCTTAAGAGTAAATCAATGAACTTCAATAATAACCTCAGTAAATAAAATAACAGCCCATTCTGCTACATCATAGAACTAAAAAGGTTAAATAATATATATTGCCCCAATTATATATGTGTATTTCTTTCCCATATTTTACTCTCTATCATTGAAATCAATTTATTTTGACTTCTAAGATCATTTATCTTGTGATATTATTGATTTTCCAAGTTAAATAGGTAATTTAAAAATTTACATGAACTTTAACATTATTTCTGGTGCTTTTATTTTTAATTTAAATATATGTAAGTTGACAGGTGATGCAAAGTTACAGGAATACTTCAAATATTGCTTTCTGATTCTACTTTCGATCATATTGGGTGAAAACCTAGGACTTATGAAGTCCAATTGTTTGTTTTTAATGAGAATTAACCACAATTTTAGTTGGAAATGCATTTATTTTGATGTTTTGATTTCCATTTCAGAAATTTTCAAGTGGAAATGAAAATGTCAAATATATTTTCAACTGAAATTGTGGTTAGATATATAGATAGAATTTATTAATCCACAAAGTTTACACAATTGTGTTGTCCATTAAAAATGAATACACAGTTTGGCGAAAACCTTTATGCGAAGAATTATTGAGAGGTAATATAATGACTATTTTATTGTAACATTTTATTCCAATATATTCAGGTGCATGTTGGGATACACCTAATCTAGAGAAAGGTTGTCGAAAATTTGATTTACCTCTAGTATCATGTGAGTGAATGTCCTCATTTCTGTCAAACTTCAGCTTGTTTTCCTCAATGTGCAATGTTAATTGGAAAATTAAAAGGCTAGGTAGTGTTAAAATATTAGACTTCTTAAATAGTGGCCTGCAACTATCTGAAAATGGAATGCCATACATTTTTCTTAAAACTTTCTTTTGAGCTAGAAATGCCCATTCAAAATGAGATGAGCAACCCCAAAATATTAAGCCATACTGAAGTACAGACTCAACTAAATTAAAGTAAATCATTCGCAATATATCAAATGAGACAGTTTCTCTTAAATTACGCATTATATAGCTACATATACTTAACTTTGCTGATACATGAGTTTAACATGTAAGTTTATGATCTAGGGTTAACCCCAAAAATTTCGTTGAAGTATAACTTTCTACTGATTTGCCATCCACATGTAAATAAAAGTCAGAATTTGAAGTTAAGTTTTTTGGTAAAAATCACATAAAATGTGTTTTTGTTACCTAGGGCTTGAGTCCATTATTTTTACAATATGTGCTAAATTCAGCAGACGCAACATTGGTATTTTCCAGCAGTTGTATGGGTTCACTGTAAGACATGAGAATATTGGTATCATCAGCATACTGAACAATTTTATCTGGCATTGAACAAAACGTGTTTAGGTCACTTACAAATATAATGAAAAATAAAGGCCCCAGTATTGAGCCCTGAGGTACATACATTGAAGAGGAAGAGACTTCTTATTAAAATAATAAATAATATTAAAATGCCGCAAGAAAATAGAATATACAATTATGTCTTTCAAATATTGTTCCTGTTTTGTCTCATAAAAATTGGTTTCAAAAAAGTTGAAAATGATGGCTCTGACCAGAAATTTCTTTTATCGAATTGGTGGTTTTATTTTTGTGTAGACTCCCGTAAAACTGACTCAACAGATAATGCACATTTTAAATCTAAATATCCGATTCTTCCAGTTTGTAAGGTGTTCATCATAGTCCAGATTTCTATACTGCCTAAAAAATTCTTAAACCTCATTTTTAATTGGAAAATTTAATTTTTGTTAAGTTTTAGTCAGTAATATATACGTAAATTAAATTATTCTTGTAAATTGTATTGTGTGATTATAATCTATTATCGTATTTTTAGGTAGAGATGGTGGAATGATAAAACAATTGTATCTCCCATTCTTTTTGGGATTGGGGGGACCAGTTGGCAGTGGTTCTCAGTTTATGCCCTGGATTCATATTGATGACCTAACACATTTGATCCTATTTGCTATTGAAAATCCTAAAGTGGATGGCATATTAAATGGTGTTGCTGCTAAACCATGTACCAACTTAGAATTTTCTAAGGTAAGTTTATGATTTCGTATTTCTATATGACTATGTTTTTATTCTTATTGTGTTTTATTGTTTTCTTATAAAAAAGGAAATAATTTTCTTTGTCTTTATCCATCTAATTGAAATTGCTTGCATTGCTTCAATTTCTCAGTTCCCTTGTAATAACAGTGACTGGACTTGAGTGAATGTCTTTAATACTTAAATATATCTTCTATTTCTTTTTTCTTAGTTTTTTCTTGACAACCTCGGGACAATTCATTTTTCTGTTTGACAGAACAGCCTATAAGGTGAGTTGTATGACTGAGCAGTGTATAATTATCTGTGAAGAAAGTACAACCACTATCTAACAACCCTTCCATAAGTGATAGAACAACAGATAAAGAGGCATTTTGACCACCCTGACTATCTTTTCCACAGTAAATTTTGAGGTCATTGAGAAGTAGCCTCAAAGAGGTTATTTTGAGGCTACTTCTTCGTATGGTGTTCTATTCAATTTATAAATCTTGAATGATATCTATTTATCTTCAGCAAATTTTGGGATATCAGCAAATTTCTACATAATTTTGGGATAATAAATTTTCCATTTATCCATTATTTAGATAACTTTTTAGATAATTATAATTATATATACTTGCCCCTTCTTTGGAATAGGCTTTAGATACTGTGATAAAAAAACATTTTCTAATTTGTGTTTCATAGAGAAAACTTTATATTTTATTTTTTAGGCATTTGCAAAGGCGTTGAACAGACCTGCTATATTTCCTGTACCAACTTTTGTTTTTAATGCTTTGTTGAGCAAAGAGAGAGCCATTATGATAACAGAAGGTCAAAAAGTAATTCCTAAAAAGACTATTGCCCTAGGATTTAAACACAAATATCCAGATATAGAAACTGCCTGTAAAGAACTGGTTGCCAAGAAATAATCTACATTAAGATTCATCTTAATAGATCCTTTTGTGTGAGGATGTAAAATTATCTAAATGTCAGTGTGATAATACAAGAGTTTAGTTAATATTATTATGATTTATTTTTTAAATTGTTATTTTGAAGACTGTCAATAAAATTAGTTAAGTTACTTATTAAACTAGTTTCTTTTATTTTTTCATAGTTGCTACGTTCACTTTTTAGTTGTATTGTAGGGAAAAAATGGGAATACCATAGTGAAGAAATCCGAGGATGAAACAAAAATATTGGAAAAAGCACATTAAAAAGTTGCTCGAGGGAAAAAGAAAAACCGGAAAAGGACAGTTATAGAAATTATAAGGAAGATATACTACATTTAGCAAAGACAATACCACATTGGAGAAACTCTGGTGCAGGTGAACTGTCTTTGACATTGTCAAAATAATAGAAAATAAACATGTGGAAGTCTTTGTAAAGTTTTTAAATGGTATTTATTATTTGGGTACTCTGCCCAGAGCAATGACGAAGACCATAAACAAAGAAGGAAAAGAAGACTTAAATATGGTTGAGATTCCTAGGCAGAAGTCAAATAATGATATAGTTACGTTCTTGGTAATATTAGTGGGTGTCTCTGCCTTTAGGCAATTAAATATCATTTACAATTTTAAACCTTGTTTAAAATTGTAAATGATATTTAAGGGCTCCAGGACGATACATGTTTAGGGAGGAACTCCAACTCAAAACAATAGAACATGAAGTAAATAACTGGGAAGATTTGAATTGAAAATGAGAAACTGGAAGAAAGAAAAAAGAGGCAAAGAGTGGGCTGAAGAATTGGCAAAACAACCCTGAGAAAGAATAAACCAAAAGTTCCTCCTGTTTTTGTAGCTATAAAAGGAAGACCACTAAACAGCAGCAATTTTGATAATGGTAAAGACTGTCTTTGACTAGGATATGCTCCCAAGTAAAACAGAAATATTCTGATGTGAAGAAGGTGATAACCTTCTACAATACAACAAAGTGAGCAGTAGATGTTGTGGACCAGATGAAATGTTATTACTCCATTTCTCGAATAAGGTGCTGATGGTCACTTAACAGTCTTTTCATTGATGAATATTGCAGGAATAAAGAGTCATTTTTGTACATTGTTGTATATTTCCATATAACCGTGATCATTGACAATAGAATGGCATTTATCGAAGAAGATACAATAAAGTAATATGAAATATATGTCGATATTTTATTTATAAAAATATTACATAGTTAAAACAGTAACGCTTTTTTCACATAATAAAAATAAACTTTTATTTGATCCGTAAATACCTAATATTTCATCATTTGATAAATTAACCACTTGCTGCTGAGCTATACTTTGTATTCTTCTTCCAGTGCTTCTGTTTCGAAGTTCGGTACTAGATATTTTTTTGTTCTGCCTGTATATGAACAAATGTCCAGACGTTTCACAAATCACGGCATAACTCATGTCTGGTGGGCAGACTGTGAATTTTTTGTTTTGCTTTGAAGCCTAAAAAAATTATAATAGGTGAGTTTTCTAAGATAATAATAAATGATGCTTTAAATAAGATGCAGAATAGGAAAGGAATAGAACCTGTGGAGGTTAGAAAGGCTCTAGGAGAGGAAGGGGTTTATGTTTTATGGCAAATGATGAGTAAGATATATGAGGAAGAAATGATATCCAATGCATGAGGGGGCGTAATGGTATCATATATTAGGATTTCTAGACTGTACTAATTGTAGGGGGATTAAGTTAATGTCACACATTAATTTGAAAGAGAACTGTAGAGCAAAGATTACGGAGAGAGACATTGATAGGAGAAGAACATTTTTGAGTTTATGCTAGGAAGGAGGATAACATATGCCTTGTTTGCTTTGAGACAGTTGATAGAGAAATATGATGAGAAGAAAACAGAGCTATAAGTTTCTTCACTGATTCATTACCTGCTTAACTTTGTTAAGGTTGGTTGTACTGACAAAGTAGGTAAGGGAGGGGACACCTTGGTCAACACTCTTTGCAGATGATATTGTGTTAATGGAGGAGATCAAAGAAATGTTGGAGGAGAAGTTAGTGGGTTGGAGAAGGGCTACTGAAGAGGGAGGACTTAAGGTTAGCAGCTCAAAAATGGAGTATATGGGGTTGGGAGGAACTTTAAGAAAAATATCTTTATCTAAAATAGTGTTAAATTATATACAACAATAGACTAAATAGTATAAAATTGTATCGAAAAAGATCAAAAATATTATATATAAATTTATTTTTATAAACTAGAGTAAGTATATATTTATATTTAAGTACATCAATCAACTCTAGTGATTTGTGTATGGTATCGAAATCTACTTACTTGAACATATCCCAAAGCTAAAAGAGTTCCTTCATGTGTGATAGAAAAATTTTCATTCGTTTTCTGTGGTTGCCACAGACATATATCAACATCATGGCGAATTCCCATAGCTGGTACATCATTCTGATTTAACTGAGCTGTTACTAGAATTTGGTGGGAGCCTAGATTTACTTTGTGAGTTGTATTATTTGTTTGGCCACACAATCTTTGGAAAACACATGCTTTATCATTTTCAAATCACATTCCTCCACTTGTTGACTATTAAATGTTGTGCCGGATTGGGGATTGTCCTAAAAAAAGCAAATAAAGAGAGAAGTTTTGACCATGTTTTATTTACACATATTTAACATTTCTAGTGACACTCATATGTGCACAACTATGTTCGAATAAAATATCAAAATATATGTAGTAGATACAGCTGTTTCTTACCTCAGTTTCACTAGTAAGATGAGCAAATTTAGCTTGACTTGCATCTTGTATACAGGAATTCAAAACAAATTCTCCAGTTAGATCATTTTTAATAAATTCTGGCCACATTAATCCAGTCTCTTCTTTCCCTAATATTATTTCCAGTATAGGTTCAGAATCCTGTGTAATCTTCCATGTTGTCATATTTGTATCTATCCTGTGATATAAATCTCCAGAAATTAAAACTGCATCATTTGCTTTTACTTCTATACTGTTAAATTGCTGATTTATGTTGACTTGTTCAGGGGCTATTTCTCCTGATAACTTTATCCTAATTGTAATTTCATTGATATTTTGTGACCATGTATAAACCTTTTTATCTGCATTTATATTCCTTGATGTTTCCTCAATTATAGGAAAATCTGAATTTAGTGTAAATTTACATTCATCATCACTTGCAACATAGATAGCTTCACAATTCTTTTCTATAAAGGCATATTGTACACAACCTTTGGATTTCACCTGTTTAATAGCAGTTTGTCCCCAAACATCTTGGACCTTAGTAAATGTAATCCAATGTAATAAACTAAAATACCTTTCTTGTTCAGTTTCACGTTTAAGACTTAAAGCTAAAACATGTAGTTCTTCATTACTATCTTTATTAGTCATTACAATAGCATCAACTAAAACAAATGATTGACCTGAATCTGTAACTTCATCCGAGAAACAAATATTGAAAGCATCATCATCATTCCTACTTCCAGTATTAACAATATATAAATTTTCAATTCCATCACTTATTACAGCAATTGTTGGAGAGGCGAATCTCAAAGAAACATTGTAATCACCAGAAATTCTTTCCCGTTTTCTAGGGAGTGTTAGAAGTTTTATAGGATCTATTAGTTCTTCATTAAATGGATCCACATACACTTTACATATACTTAACTCTTTATCTACGAAATATACAGAACTCGTTTCATCATAAGGATCTGCAGTAAGATGATTGTGAAAACCATACAGATTTGCGTGTAGTAAAGAATATTGGTTTGTGTCTAAAAGAACTCTGTCCACGGCAATCGAAAGATCTCGCTTTTTCTTCGGTATTTCTGTTAAAGATAACTTGTATCCATCAAAGTTTGAGTCCAGGAGTTGTCTATTAGGATTCAGTTCTATTAAAGTGGTTTGCATTTTGAAACTACTTGCAGAAGATTAAACTATAGTACTTACAAAATAAATATAACCATGTCATGTCAGGTTAATAAAAACATCAAAATCAACAAAAACGTTTAACATAACCTAAGTAATACCGAATATGTGTCATATTGGTTGGTCATATCATAAAATTCATATTGTCTATTCGCTTAGCTAGGGCATATTTTGACAGACTCATTGTAGGAAACCTACAACACAACAATTCCTACTTCTCAGTATAAATAGCTCAAGTATACTACTATTGCAGACCTCTTTCTTTGAAAAAAAGAAGAATTATTCTAAATAGTGGAAGTGTATACTAACCCCATCAAATTTTCCCTGTAATATTTAAAATATAATATTTGAATTGTTACAATTTAAAATATTGTAGTAAATATTTGTATTATTCGCGTTGTTTATTTAATTTAATATTGTTTTATTATCTTTGTTTAATTCTTTTGTTAGTTCTATTCAGTTAATTAGTTAGTTATATTTTAAATTTTATTATTATGGATAGTCAAAGTTTTCCATTTGTTCATGACACATTTAATCATGAAACATGATAAAATGATTTTTAAAAAGTTTTTTTTTAAATTAATATTTTTTAGATTAGTAAGGATGCTGTTCCTAGATTACAAGGTAATAAAACTGCACAAAGGTTATTTCAAAATGCCTACCATTTTTTTTACCGAATGAAAACCCTGTTGAGGTAAGTTGATCATTAAAATGTATTTATCGAATTATGTAAATGTTGTAAATACATAAGGAACTTGCTGTGTCTTATTCTTATTTAACCTCACTTTGACTTCTTAATTTTGTAGAATTTATTCCCACTTTTTTATTTTGTACAATAAATAATTTTATTATTTGTTATCAATACATTATACGGTGTAAATAAATAAATATTGATTGTCGGCAAAGTTCTATTTTATTTACTTTTGTTTACATTAATATTGACTAAGAGCACGTATGCTTGGTTGTATAGTATTTTCCAGCCACTTCGAGTCTGTCAAAAAGTTACTAACTTCGAAAAAAAATAATTACTAAAATCACTAGACAGTTCGGACTGGGAATAGCGAACCGGCAGCGGGACTCCGTGCCACATAGAATTCTATCGTAGAATTCTATTGTCGTTTTCTATCTACAACGGCGATAGTAACGTGTATTGGCACTCCGTGCGTATGTCGTTTCGCTTCGGTATTTTCCGATCTCTCTATTATTGGATGTAAAAACATTAACCTGTTGGTTTTACTCAAATATCGCATTTATTGTCTATTATCTTTGTTTGTAACACATTTTAGAGAAAGAAAGTACTATTTTTGGGGTTTTTAATTGTTTGGGTTGACTTTTTCGGTTTCGGTTTATTACGCGGGTCATTTGCATGCTGCTGTTTGTTTTTGTTATTTAAAGTCATTTTTAAAGAGCTTCGTCTTCGTTATATTTTTGGATAAAAATGAGGGCCCGAATGGAACATTGGGAAATGTTGCTTTCATTTTGCCAAGAATATCCAAAATTAATAACAAATAAATTTAATGGAATTGAGGGACGAGCTAAAGGAATAGCTGTGTGGCAAACTGTTACCACAAAATTAAACAGTTTAGGATATGGCGAAAAAATCATAGGGGGTGGAGATCCAAAGAATTTCAGCAGAGGAGGAATGGCTACTGAATTATTTGTGTGTACCATATTGGATGCAATTTGATTATAAACATATTGTGCCATCTCCTTATTCAACCTAAAGAGTTCTTTAAATCGAATATCTTCTATAGCGAAAGGATTGCTTTCATCTCGCATTTGGCGTCTTGTTAACGCTTCGATACGAATTTGCTCTAACCGCTCCTCATTTTCCCCTGCTAGTATGTTTATTATATTAATAGGTAACATGCCTACACTATTTCCACGATCTCAGCAAAATAAAATAAACTCTTACGTAAAAACCAAAAACAGTTAGAATGTACACATAACCTTAATCTCCAAAATAAAAATAAATAAATTTACTGTCAATTTGCTTTTGGAATATAATACGCTTGCGCTATATAGAATTCGATAGGTCTCTGGAGATAGAAACGAAACGACCAAAATAATAGCATTCATGCGACAATGCGGATGTACGGAGTGCCAACGTTGTAGAATCTTCTCTATATGTAGAATACTACATGGCACAGAGTCCCACTGCGGGTATAAAGAGTATTGTCCATAGGATTATATAGCCACCTGCCAGTGTTACGAATTGAATAAAAGTTAACGATTGAATTTACGAATACGAATAATGAGCGAGTTAACGATTTATAGAGAGAGTACACGACGTTATGGAATACTGGAATACAATATTTAAAAACTATAGCTAACTAATGGATAGTTGAGTGTTAGTGAAAACGACAAAGCAGACGAGAGAGGGGTGACTAACGCGAAATGGTAAGAAGAGTCGGAAAACGAACATAGGGTTAAACGGACAATGGGGTGTAGGGTTGTGTTATAGAGGTAGTACATTTATTGTATTGTATATGTAACGACCGCATCGAGCGTCATAGACGGGAGATGGTTCTTGATAACTGGTCCGCATAAGACATCTAACTCTCACTTATGGCTTCACGTGGCACACCCCGGGCAACTAGAATAGTCTGCAGGCTAAACTAAGTGAGGGTAGATATGGCGAAAATTTCACGTTGGAGAAAATATCGGTGAATATGGCTTAGGTAATAGAAATGAAAGGGGTGACCTTTTAGTTTAGTTATGTCAAAGCGAAGATTTAATAATAACTAATACATTCTTTAAATTACCCCCAAGGTGACTGTATACGTGGACGTCACCTCAACACACTCAAGAAAAAGTAATCAGAAACCAAATAGATTACATAATGGTGACAAAAAGATACCGTAATGCCGTGAAATCTACCAAAACTTATCCTGGAGCTGATATCGGTTCGGATCATAATCCAGTAGTATCTGTGATAGAAGCTAGATCAAAGAAAATAAGAAAAACCATCATCACAGCGTTAGACTTAAGCCAGCTTAAAAGTGAACACCTACGACAAACAGTGCAAGAAGAAATAAACACCAACCTCAGTATAGCAGAAAGTTAAATCCGCAGAACAGACAACATAGATAAAAAAACTTAAGTATATAAACACTACAATAAGAACTACGGGTAAGAAACACCCAACTAGATCTGCAAAGAAACACAAGGTATGGATGACACCAGACATACTAGAACTAATGGATGAAAGACGTAAAATGAAGAATAATGCACAAAAATACAGAGAGGTTGATAAGAACATAAGGCAAAAAATAAAGAAGGTCAAAGAATTATGGATTGTAGAACAATGTGTAGAAATGGAAAACTATGAAAGAAAATATGACACATTCAATGTACATAAAAAAGTAAAAGAAATTACAGGAACTCAAAGAAGACATCAAATTAGTTTGCTTAAGAACAAAGACGGAAATATTATTATAGATTTAACAGAGAAAATTAATAGATGGAGTGAATACATAAGAGAATTGTTTGAGGACAACAGAAATAACATTGTTCAGGTAAATGGTGAAACGGGACCTGAAATCCTAAAATGTGAAGTAGAAATGGTACTTAGAAATTCCAAAACTGGAAAGGCAAATGGACCTGATAAGGTTCCTACTGAACTGCTAAAGCTCTTGAATGATGACGCAATAGGTATAATATTGCACTTATTTAACACAATATAAAAAACTGGTACTATACCTCAAGAGTGGCTGTTGTCTATATTCGTTACACTGCCAAAGAAATCCAATGCAAAGAATGTTCAGAACATCGAACAATATCTTTAATGAGCCATCTACTAAAGATATTTCTAAAGTCATCCACAACGAGTTATCAAAAGTTGGATTCAGATATTAGTGATAACAGGAAGTGGTATCAGAAAATGTATTTATCGAGAGCTCTCTTCGGTTAAAAGCGTTCTTAGACAAGATGCTAACGTTTGATGCCATGATAAGCTAAGAGACATTCTTCAAAGAAAGGACATAGATAATAAAGATCTGCGAATAATTCTCAATCTATATTGGAATCAGAAAGCTAACATCAAAATAGAAAATGAGATATCACAAGCAATAGAAATACGTAGAGGAGTACGACAGGGATGCATTTTGTCACAGCTGCTATTTAATGTTTATAGTGAAAGCATCTGCCAGGAAACCCTTTTGCAAGCAAACGAAGGAATCGTAATCAATGAAGAGGTTATAAATAATATTCGATACGCAGACGGCACTGTACTAGTAGCAAGAACAGTAGAAGAATTACAACGACTACTTACAAAATATAAATATTGCCTGCAACAATTATGGCATAAATATCAATATCAAAAAAACCAAGTATATGGTCATCACAGTAAAAACGGCATTCAAATTGAAAAGTATCAAGTTACAAATACTTGGGGACTTCAATAAACGAAATTGGAGACCAAAACAATGAAATAAAAAGACGTATCGAAATTGCCAGGGCACATTCATAAAGATGAGGAAATTCTTCTGCAACAGAGATACAATATCCTCACGATTAGATGCTAAGGGCTACGTATTAACACGTTATATGGTGTAGAGGCTGGACTCTCAAACAGAACAACATAAAAAATATTGAAAGTTTCGAGATGTGGTGCTACCGTCGAATACTGAAGATAAGTTGGGTTGAAAGAGTCACAAACTTTGAAGTAATACGAAGGATAGGAAAAGACCCAGAAATTTTGTCAACGATCAAACGAAGAAAACTCGAATATTTGGGTCATCTGATGAGAGGACATAAATACGCATTACTTCAAAATATAATGCAAGGAAAATACAGGAAAACGGAATCCACGCCGTAGAAGAATGTCATGATTGCGTAATTTGAGAGAGTGGTTTGGCTGTAGCACTAATGAACTCTTTAGGTCAGCTGTAAACAAGATCAGCGATAGCCTTTATGATTTCCAATCTCCGATAGATGTTGCACAAGAAGAAGAAGAAGGACTAGACTCATACCATCATACCGCACGTGAGAGATTGGGTAGGACAGGGTCATTGGGAGACACTACTTATTCACACAGTTCCTTAAGGGGCACGGCTATTTCAGAGCCTATCTCGTAAGAATAGGAAAGCAAGCAGAGGGCAACAGAAAAGACGG